AGGCGACACTAAAAACCGCAAGACTCCGTACCTTTTGCGCAGGCGCGAAATTGACTCCTGTCAAGAATGTCTATGAGAATCGCCTTGCCGCCCTTTTTCATATTTTTAAATCGTTCTAACCTCTAACTACATTTTTAACCGTCAATTCAATTCATGGTTAATCGTGTATGCTGATTTGTTTCATTCGTTTTTGGATTTCCTTCATCTGCAGAATTGTGCACATGCAACAGTGTTTAATCTATGCATTTAACAAAGATTCATAATCATTGTTTAAAAAGCGAATTCATTCTGCTTTCTTAAAACAATTACTTATTTTTGTGTTTAGTGTATAAGTGGTGCTGGTGTAAATAGTGTCGAACAATGTAATGTATTTGTTTATATTATTNTTCTGTACTATTGAAAATGATCAAGTCGAAACAATTGTCAAATTGTGTTTTATTATGTTATTGTCAAAACATTTGGGTGTTTTTTATAAATACAAGATGTGTTTTGCCCTTTACTGACCTTAGAAACGGCGGTGGATATTGACTTCTTTCCATTTGTATTGGAGAAGAGAGTAACGGCGTGACCAGTAATTTAATATCATTGAAGTGGAAGGAAACACTGGAACGAGCTCGCTTATGGGAAGTTGTTGAGAAAGATGATCTCAAGTGTTAGACAAGGTCAAATGCTCTGGGGTGGTTATCTGTCTGTGTCGTACTAACGTAAACAGAGGTGTTATTTAGCCTGTGTTGTTAATTTTGTTAGTTTTTTAAAATAATTAGTTAAATGGTTAAATATTGTTGTGCATATGGGTGCACAAATGAATAGAGACCCAATGGAAACGTAAAATTCCNTCATGATTCCCTACAAAGGTGATATTTTATTACGTAAATGGAAGAAAAAATTTTGTTTTGTTCCATGGTATAATAATTCTATTACAATACAGGTATTAGTTTTTGTGGTAATATTGTTATGGTATTTACTGGTCATAAGGTTAAAATTAATATTAACCAAAGTAATGAATGCCAGATCGCATATATTGATTATACATGGTGTTTCATGTAGAAAAAAAACATGACTTCCTGACACAAAATGCAACAAAAGTATGTTATATATTACTAAACAGAAAATGTCTATTTTGTATTTCACTATGCCAAAAAGGAAAGGTTTATTATTAATGAAGTAAATTTATTTACGTAAAGAAGTTCAAATGGATTTCCTTTTTCCTTAATTCTGCCCTGATATTTTTGTGGTATCATTTTCATATTTGGCTATATTTTGAAGATTTCTGTGCTATTAGTAGATTTTTGCCTGAAGAAGGTAACTGGACTTTAGGTTAAAACTAATATTAACCTGAGCCATGAATTTCTAAGGCCCAAACTGTGTAATAGACCATGATAATTTTCCAATAATATGATGTCTTTGTATAAAGAAATTTATAAAAATGGATGTGATTATTGAGTTACTTATGTGTGGTTTCTAAAATAATGTAGGAGTAGTGATCGCACAATGCTATTTTACCACCAAATTTAAACATTTGTTGGTGGTAATTTACAGTCAGAATTGTTATTAAAGGAGAAAGTGAATATGCAGAACTGATCTGATATTGATCTTGATTTTTTCATCGTAGAGGTAGNGCGCAAGAGCTACGGAGTCTTTTTTTTTTAGCGTCGCCTCCCTTTGTGTATCTATTATCTATGGTTCAATCATTATTTCAGTTTATTTCCGGTTTGAACACTAAGAGACCATGTTGCTTTGATCTATTATCTATGGGTTTGATGTTGCAAGTTGCCGTTAAAGGTGGCTGCCATTTATTAGTGAAGGTATGTGTTAGACGCCCATTGTGTAGTCGTGTTTAAATGTGATTCACTCAAAATATGTGTATAAAAATCTGAAAGTGACATTTTGATTGCAGTTTACATCAAAATTGTGAAGCTTTTAGTGTTTTTTTGTTATACGTGTGTAAGTAGAAAAAGTTTGGATAATGTAATGAAGGTCGGTAAATTAACACCCATGCCTTCCATTTTTTCTCCATGTTAATCGTAAACTAATGTTTACAATCTGAACAAACGCTGATAATCAGGTACAAATAGAAGATAATAAGGAAGATGCAGTAAGCAGGATAATAATGGCCTGCCCTACTTAATGTTTAATTTATTATCAATTAGAAGTTAATTACTCCAATAAACTGCGACAAAGATACTTATATACCTACAAATTGCTTTTTTTTTAACTTCTGATCAGTGGTTATGTGTATGGAAAGATTATTCAAGTAAATTGATTGTCCAAAATTACAATTNTCACATTCATTTTTAAACAAATAATAAACAAAATTCTAGTAAATACTACTACACTACTTTACTTGGTGAGTACTACCTACCTGACTAAACTTCATGTCTCAATTCCGATGTCAACTAATGTAAAAAATTACCTTACAATTAAATGTTCTTATGTGGGTTAGTTTTATGGGGTCGTTGTTTTGGATGAACCAGAAAATTGGCCAATTTATTTCCAGCTTTATGTTTAAATTTTGTGAAATGGAATATCCTTGCTGGTAGTAGGTACTAAAATTTTCTTTTCTTTGCAGGGAATCTGTAATTATTTATTACAACAATACAATATCCAGATTGTTGACCCTAAAAGTGGATATAGATAACTATCTAATGCACATTTCGGAAGTGTAGTGTAAATTGGAGAAACAGATAACAGTAATATATGTTTACGAGAAAGTGTAGGTAACATTAGTCTACATATTTTTTGGGTAATTTTTTACATTAGTAGACATTGGTATTGAGACGTGAAGTTTAGTCAGGTATGTAGTACTCAACAAGTAGAATCGTGTGGTTAATTAATTCCATGCGGAAACCAATGTAACTTGAGATACAGGCTCCTAAAATTGTCTTAATCGGAGGAAATTTCGGTTAGTACGGCCCTGGCTGCAGCCCTTCGTCAGCTGTTGTCGCCAAATATGCATTGATGACGTCATTGTTTAGTTAGGTAGATTAATAACAGACTCGAGTTTCTTTAATGTCCCTGCCCGCCGAAGGCGGCCTAGTATATTAGAATAATTTTACCAGGATATCTTTTAGAACAAACGATGTTTCGCGGGAAGAGCTGACGGAAGAGCCTGTATCTCAGTCACATTAATTTTTAAACAAATAATAAACAAAATTCTAATAAATACTACCACACTACTTTACCTGGTGAGTACTACCTACCTGACTAAACTTTATGTCTCAATTCCAATGTCAACTAATGTAAAAAATTACCATTTATGTAGTGCAGAAGCAGTTATACATACATTTTTTGTTTTCCTACCCATTCAATTTTAGTTATTTCTTGTTTCAGAGAGTACTTAGGGTGGCAGAGATCACGAGGATCGGTATGGCACTCTGATGCACAATACTGCGATGTGGAAGGCAACGGGAAAGCACCACATTATGATTCCGAGTAAAATGTAATACACTCGCGATCTCAGAACTTTGCTACGCGACCCTATTTGGGGTCGCGACCCATAGTTTAAGAAGGCCTGTACTACATGATCCCAAGTAAAACGTTCAACTACTGAAATTAAATGATGGCGTCCTCTAGGGTAAAGCACTCCGGACGTAAACTAGTCCCCCATTCGGATGTCTGGGCGGGGACTACCTCGGGGGATGTCATCAATAAGTGCAATAGGGATAGGTGCAATGTTTCACGAGTCGGAGCGTGGAATGTTAGAACAATGAGGCAAGTAGGAAAAGGAGATGAAAACAAAGTTGGATACTGTTTATGGAGACATTTCGCCATCTAGACCANACTGACCAAGTAGAATCGTGTGGTAGCATTAATTCCGTGCGGAAACCAATGTAGCTTGAGATACAGGCTCCTAAAGTTATTTAATCGGAGGAAATTTCGATTGGTACGGCCCTGGCTGCAGCCCTTCGTCAGCTGTTCTCGCCAAATATGCATTGATGACGTCATTGTTTAGTTAGGTAGATGTATGACAGACTCGAGTTTGTTTAATGCCCCTGCCCGCCGAAGGCGGGCTGATACATTAGAATAATGTTAGGAAGATATGTTTTAGGACAAACGATGTTTGGCGGGAACAGCTGACGGAAGGCTGAAGCCAGGGCCGTACCTACCGGTATTTCCTCCGATTAAGAAAACTTTAAGGGCCTGTATCTCACTCACATTCATTTTTAAACAAATAATAAACAAAATTCTAGTAAATACTACTACACTACTTTACTTGGTGAGTACTACCTACCTGACTAAACTTCATGTCTCAATTCCGATGTCAACTAATGTAAAAAATTACCTTACAATTAAATGTTCTTATGTGGGTTAGTTTTATGGGGTCGTTGTTTTGGATGAACCAGAAAATTGGCCAATTTATTTCCAGCTTTATGTTTAAATTTTGTGAAATGGAATATCCTTGCTGGTAGTAGGTACTAAAATTTTCTTTTCTTTGCAGGGAATCTGTAATTATTTATTACAACAATACAATATCCAGATTGTTGACCCTAAAAGTGGATATAGATAACTATCTAATGCACATTTCGGAAGTGCACGTATACAATATAGAGCATAGATAAACATATATTAATGGACGTGCCTTAGCCGTATGTCGTTGTAATAATTTCTTGGCTCGAAAAGTGAGGGAATGTCGTATGGTTTCCAACTAGTGCTATCTCTTTCATGACATACTTACGCACTATCGTGAGAGAGATGGATATTATCCGAAACTTCGTTCCTTCTCTTTCTTTTGCTGTACCACAATTCTGACCGCAAAGGCATGTCCATTAGTAAACGTCGATGGTATAGACCGTGTATACCTGTATATGTGTTCACTATAACGTATAACTTATAACCTATTATCTATGCTTATAACAGTATAACATATGTAAACGGATCAGCGGCGATATTCTTCAATTCTTTGTAATGTGCCAATTTAGGACGTGGAATCAACTTCAAAGTGGGAGTCGATAAAAGGAAATCTATTTCAAAGGACTTAAATGTTTGATAAAAAAGCTGGTTTTCTTTTTTCGAGTAATTTATTCAATTGTCGTTAAATAAAAAACAAACACAAACAAAATTGTCTTTAATAACTGTGTGAGGAGAACGTAATCCAAACTCTCATTATTTTTTGTACTGTAGTTATATGTCTGAATGACCTTTTTTGATGAGTACACTTTTTGCACTGGCAACGCACCTGCTATCTTTTGGAAACCTTCGCGAGAGTAGTTTCCTGGTGGTATTCCCGCGCTCGTGCACAGCTTTACTCCCCCGGACAGGTGAATCGGTAAAGTAGCAATCTCAACAAGCACCAAGTGAAGCAATTAGAAGAACTATTTGGCCGTTTTCACCACGTCTTCGTTTTGTCAAATTAAGTCTTTGGTAGGACCAACTTTAACATACCATCGCATCAACACTGGAACAGTAAGGTCCATCGAACAACCACATAAAAGAGTTCCTTAGGCGAAGCAGGAGGAAGTCAATAACCTGCATGCATAAAAAGGGGTGATCGAAAGATCTTACACCTCTTCGGCCTCCTCTAAAGTACTAGTACGTAAGAAAAATGGTTCTACGAGATTTTATGTAGACTTCGGGAAGCTGAACGACGTAACGCAGAAGGACAGCTACCCATTACCCCGAAACGACGACACACTACACAGTCTATCTGGAGTTAAATGATTTATCTACTATAAATATGAAACACTTCGACATTTAATAGGGGTTAATATCAAGTATTAATGTGAAAATTCATTTTAATTTTCAATCCCACTATAGACTACCTCAAGTTAATGAGGGGAAAATTTGTTGTTGTCACACCCTCGCCAGGAATCGAAACCGGGACCTTTGGCTTTACGCGGCAA